GGGGGCTATCGCGTGCGTGGGAAGGGAGATTTTGTTGGATCCGTTGATGCTCACAGGACCTTTCGCGTTCCTCTGGTTTTTGCTGCATATCTGTTTCAGATTTTCATCATTTACTGGCTGGGGGTAGCACTTATGCTCTTCCTCTGGTTCCTCTGGTTTTTGCTTCACAGCTGTTTCAGATTTTCATCATTTTCTGGCTGGGGGTAGCACTTCTGCTCTTCCTCGCTGAAACTGATTTTGTTAGAGCTGCATGTGCGTGCTGTTTGCTTGGGACGCACAGACGCTGAGGTATAGTGATTTCTTGTTGACTGTGAGTATGAACTGATGCTTAGCTAAAGCTTAGTGAATGTGCTGTGTGGAGCTTATACGTCTTGTTGGTGATCGTGTGCTCAGCATTGTGTTTATTTTGGTTCATTTGTTTGTGTTAAAACGTTGTCGTGCTTGTATTTGATTGACGATACTCTTTCACAACTTCATGGTGCATTCTTTTTCTTCCATTTAGTTTAAGAGGTTTTTTGACGAGATCAATGCTGTTTTGTTTTGTATTCTTTCTTCCTCTTTAATACAAAATTACCCTTTCAAAAAAAAAGAAAAGCAGGTGGGTGTCTCGGTCATCGTTGGTAACCCCTGATGGGTACCTCGACAACCATCGAGAATCTCAAGCCATTGGTACGGAGAGTATCGTACAGAACCGAGCGTATTTTTAAATTATTGTCGACTTTACAAACAAGTTGGGACCGCACCTATTCTCCTTTGACACTCATCATGTAAAATTTAGATTTTACGTTAAAGAAAACCTTTAAGTCGTCGTAGTTCACAAGCCAATTGTTCTTTTTAAATTGTTTTATTCATATATTTCGTTTTCAATAAAATTTTCTTAATTAAACTCTATACATTCACATTTTAATTATGATTTAAAAAATTATCTAATCTTAATTATAAACTATAAATAACTAATATTAATAAGTTTTAATTCTGAATTCTTTTCTTTTTCTATAACAACAACAACAACAACAACAAAACCCAATTCTCATATGTATGGGGTAAGGGGGAGGTAGGGTAGTAGGCTGCCCCCAACGCCAGGTTGAGAATAGCTTCCGTGAAAGACCTCCGGCAGTCAGAAAATTAAAAATATAGATAAAATGCAATGCATGTATAAATAATTACATAAATACATAGCTAAACAATATTCATATGCAGTCATTAATATCATATGTGCTTCTGTAATGGGGAGTAATCCCTGCAAAATAATCACTGCGAAAGAATCTCTGCATATAGACAGAAACATAAGACCGGCTAAATTTAACAGAGGAAACATGACGAGAATGATACACAGAAGACAATTATAGCAAGCCCAGTTCTAATCTTTCATAAATACCAATAACAGAAAAGTATAAAAAGTAAAAGTCATGGAAATTACTACAAATGCATTTAAAAGAAGACAAAGATGATACACCCTATAGATGTGACCCACACTACTCGACTACCCTAGTCTTAAGCCTCCATAATTTCCTATCATAGGTCATGTCTTCGGTAAGGCCTAAATCCATCAAATCAGATCTCAAGCAGTCTTCCCACTTCCGCCTTGGTCGTCCTTTCCTTCTGGCACCGTCGACTGTAATCGACTCTACCCTCCTGACCGCATCCGACGGTAGTCGCCTAAGGACATGCCCAAACCACCGTAGTCTTCCCTCCCTCAATTTTTCGGAAACAGACACCACCCCTAAGGACATCCTAATAGCAGAGTTTGTCGTCATATCCCACAGAGTCCTACCACATGTCCATCGAAGCATTCTCATTTCTGCGGCCTCTATCCTCCTTACGTGATCCTTCTTGGTTGCCCAACATTCTGATCCATACAACAGCGCTGGTCTTATTGCCATTCTATAAAATTTTCCCTTAAGTTTTAGAGGCACCTTCTTGTCACACAAAACTCCAGTAGCGGCCCTCCACTTTAGCCATCCCGCCTTTATACGGTGTGTAACGTCATCATCTACACCCCCATCTTTATGTATCATAGACCCTAAGTACTTGAAACAATCCTTTGAGGGAAGAACGTGTCCTTCTATGCATACTTCTACATCTTCATCGTTTTGGTTCCCATTGAAGTTTGAACATAAATACTCTGTCTTTTCAATATTGATCCTTAAACCTTTTTCTTCCAAAACAGTCTTCCAGGTAGCCAGTCTACTATTCAACTCAGATTTTGTTTCAGCAACTAGAACAATGTCGTCAGCGAAAAGCATACACCAAGGTACACCGTCTGGTGTCGCACAATAGATGTCGTCCATAATCAAGGCGAAGATGTAAGGGCTAAGAGCCGACCCCTGGTGGAGTCCGATTTCCACCGGGAATGCCTCGGTGTCGCCAACTGTAGTCCTGACGTAAGTAGTAGATCTACAGTACATGTCACGAATCGCCCGGATATAAGCAGTTGGTATCCGTCTCGTTTCCAAAGTCTTCCAGATCGTATCGCGAGGAACGCTATCATAAGCCTTCTCAAGGTCAATGAACGCCATGTGAAGATCTCTAGACTTTTCCCTATATTTCTCCATAAGCCGTCGAAGTAGATGAATCGCCTCCGTGGTAGACCTGCTTGGCATAAAGCCAAATTGGTTTTCCGAAACCCTAGTAACTTGTCTCAACCTAGCCTCTATCACCCTTTCCCATAGCTTCATGGTATGGCTAAGTAGTTTAATACCTCTGTAGTTACCACAACGTTGGGGATCTCCTTTATTTTTATAGATTGGTATCACCGTAGACTCTCTCCACTCCTCTGGCATCTTGGCAGTCTCTAAAATAATATTAAAGATGTTGGTCAACCATTTAACTCCCTCTTCTCCTAGGGCTAACCACACAGTGATAGGAATTTGATCAGGACCGACAGCTTTCTCCCTTCCCATCTTTCTAAGAGCCATTTTGACTTCCTCAAACCCAATCCTACTTGTAGGGCAGTCATTGGTCGTAGTATGATGGTCGGCTGACCCATCAACGATACTATCTCTACATGGAGAGGCACCGTCATTAAATAAGCCAAAGAAGTAACTACCCCAAACCCTCTTAATATCATGATCTTTCGTTAAAAGAACACCATTGTTGTCCTTAATAAACCTAATGTTACCTAGATCCTTTTTCCTAATCTCCCTAGATTTTGCAAGTCTGAAGATGCCATTTTGTCCTTCCTTGGTGTCTAATCTCTTGTACATTTCCTCATATGCCTTATCCTTTGCTTTAGCTACCGTTTTCTTGGCTTCCCGCTTTGCCTCCTGGTATCTTTGTTTAGCTCTTGACCTTTCTTCGTCGTCATTGCATTGAAGAAACTCCTTGAAGCAAGTTTGTTTTGTCTTCACCTTAGTTTGGACTTCGTCGTTCCACCACCACGATTCTTTATGTTCCTTGGCCTTCCCCGTCGACAACCCAAGGGTGTTTTTGCCCACCTCTCTAATGGAATTTGCCATATTTTTCCATAACATATCTGCGTTAATTGAGTTTGTAGTTTCAAAACCTGTATTAGACAAAAGCTTACTCCTAAAGTCATCAGTTGTCGCTCCATGTAAGTTCTTCCAGAGGATCCTAGGTTTACCCAGTTTAGCCCTCCTATGAGTGCTCCGCCCGTTGGGTACGCGGAACACCAAAACCAACAATTTGTGTTGTGATGCACATGCCTCTTCAGGGAACACCTTACAGTCAATGCAAGCCCATCGTTCCCGATTTCTAACCAAGATGTAGTCGATTTGGGTACAATGTCCCCCGCTATGAAACATAATCAAGTTCGCATCTCTCTTATTAAATAAGGAGTTAGTGATCACCAAATCGTGAGCAGTAGCAAAATCAAGCAACGTACGCCCCTCATCATTCCTGCTACCATAACCGAAACCCCCATGAACACCGTCATACCCGTCGATTGCACTACCTATATGACCATTGAAGTCTCCCCCTATGAAAACTCTTTGGTCCTCCGGAATGCTCCTAAGTACATCATCTAACTGATCCCAGAAGCAACGTTTTTCCCCCTCCCCTAGGCCAACGTGTGGGGCATACACTGAAAGGACATTTACCACTTCCGCTTCTATAACAACCTTAATCATCATGATTCTATCTCTGTATCTACAAACTTCAACTACATTTTCCTTGAGCTTAGAGGATACCAAGATACCCACCCCATTTCTAGCGTTATCTACACCTGAATACCACAACTTGTACCCATTACACTCTCTGGCGCGATCCCCTTTCCACCTAGTCTCCTGAATACATGCAAAATCTATTTTCCTATTACTAAGTACGTCGGTCAGCTCCAGCAGCCTAGCATTTAATGTGCCTACATTCAACGAACAAACTCTAAGTCTAGTGTCCTTGACATCACTCTGTCGGGTCCTCCCCCTATACGCCCTATGGGATCTAAAAGAATGACACGACCTCAAGTAATCATCTATAACCGAAGCTATGAGGAACTATGAAAAAAGAATCCAAAGAAGACAAAAGATGCACCAAATAAAACGCTAGAAATATAAGATACTAGGAGTCTAGGACAATGAAAAAATACAGATCTAATCAATCCTACTCAAAGGAAAGTACAAAAATATAGATCTAGTAGATCTTACTCAAAGCAAAACTGCTTTTCAAGTAAATAACAAATTCTATAGAAGTTTAATTTTTTTTTTTTTTAGGTTCCACTTCCTTACCTCCAACAGGAAAGAATAATAATGAAGAGAGAATTACTTAAAAGATAGAAACAAATCATATAAAGAGCAGAGCATAAAAGCCAAAAATGAAATGAAAATTCAACGAATTAACCGTCTAGAAACATATTTGAAACGAAACTTGCAATGGTTTCTAGTTCTGAAAAAAAAACAGATTAAGCTGATAAAAACACATACAAATATGTCTTAAAGAGGTTATCTAGTCTGGTAAGAATTTAGAAACAAAACAAAACTAGATTAGAACTATTCAAACAAACATTGATAGATTTTGACTTTACAATTTAAGAAACAAAAACTGATCAATATTGTAAGAAACGAAAGAGCAAATTCAAGAACCAGAGAAAATGGCATCCGAATCCTCAGTTGATTACGATCGGACCAAAGAGTTGAAAGAGTTCGATGACACAAAAGCCGGTGTTAAAGGACTCCTCGACGCCGGAATACTTAACATCCCCAAGATTTTTGTTCGACCAGCCGAGGAACTTGCAGCCGACGAATTGAACACCGGCCAGAAGAACATTGAAGTCCCAATCATAGAGTTAACCGACATCGGAGACGAAAACTGGCATAAGGAGATAGTAAATGAGGTGAGGGTTGCATCAGAGGAATGGGGTTTCTTCCAAGTGATAAACCATGGGATCCCTTTAAGTGTTTTGGATGAAATGATTGAAGGGATACGTTTGTTTAATGAACAAGATTTGGAGTTGAAGAAAGAGATGTATAGCCGTGACAGAGCAAAGAAAGTGAAGTTCAGCACTAACTTTGATCTTTTCACTTCCAAAACAGCTGATTGGAGGGACACTTTGACCCTTTCTTTCCTTGATTCTGATCCTGACCCTTCAGATATGCCAGAAATCTTCAGGTGACTCGGCACTAAAATCTCATTTTTGTTGCTGATTATGGCGCATTTACATTGATTTTTTTTTTCTGGTTTTTGTTTGGTTTTTGTTCGACCGGACCACCTTAGTTCGATCGAATGTTGTAAAGGGAGTAGCTTACACTCCCACTACTATCCACCTTGCCCTCAGCGTGAACTGACATTAGGTGTAAGAAAAAATGCAGATCCAGGCACATTGACATTGCTTTTGCAGAACCATATTAGTGGTCTCCAAGTCCTTCATGATGACCAATGGTTTGATGTCCGCCCCACTTGAGGCAGCTTGGTCGTAAACAACGGTGATCTTCTTCAGGTTAGCTTCGAATCGGATAGGCCTTCTGTTCGACTTTTCGAATAGCATCTGATTTCTTATGTAATTATGGTAGGTTTTATCGAATGATAAGTTCAAGAGTGTGAAGCACAGAGCACTTGCCAATCATGTCGGACCGAGAATTACGGTGCTGTGTTTTTTTTCGGGACATGCTACCCTGCTTGAGAAGCCATTTGGGCCCGATCAAAGAGCTGATATTGGAGGCAAATCCTCCTCGATACAAAGAATTCTTGCTAAAGGATTATGTTGCCAAGTTTCTATCTAGCTCGCTTGATAACAAGCCTCCTATAGATTACTACAAGCTGTGAATATTGATAGTCCCCAAGGAATTTCAGCATTCGTACCTTGTCAAAAGTCCTGAGTGACAGCTACCCTTTTGTAACACCAAACTGAATAAAACAGTGTATTGTGTTTCAATTTGAAATAAAACTGTTGTGTCTGAAGTTCTGGTTTTGAAATAACTAATCATCTAAGGATCCTATTCTTCATAATTTAGACGATTGAGAAGAATGCTAAATTGGACACTCGTACTCCAAAACAAGAACAAGATAGTATGGGGGTGTGTTGATTTATTTTCATGGGAAAATTTCGTGGAAGACTTTGATTATCTTCAGTCAGATGCAGTTTATGGCAAAGAAGAAGAAGCAACTTGTGCAGCCAATTGCAAGTAAAAAAAGGTTTATGTCATTGCAGTTCACAAGTCAACTGCAGTTTCTTATTCTTATTTATGTTCAATGAAAGTAGTATTTTAGTTCCCAGATGAAGTCTTACCATGTTCCATTGATCATTTCTAAGGAGAGAAAAAAATGGCATCCAAAACATCCATTGATTTCAACAGAACCAAAGAGTTGAAAGAGTTTGATGACACAAAAGCGGGTGTTAAAGGACTCGTTGATGCCGGAATACTTAACATCCCCAAGATTTTCGTTCGACCAGATGAGGAACTTGCAGCCGACGAACTGAACACCAGCCAGAAGAACATTGAAGTCCCTATCATAGATTTAACTGACATCGGAGACGAAAACCGGCATAAGGATATAGTAAATGAGGTGAGGGTTGCATCAGAGGAATGGGGTTTCTTCCAAGTGATAAACCATGGGATCCCTTTAAGTGTTTTGGATGAAATGATTGAAGGGATACGTTTGTTTAATGAACAAGATTTGAAGTTGAAGAAAGAAATGCATAGCCGTGACAGAGGAAAAAAAGTTAAATTCAACACTAACTTTGATCTGTTCGCTTCAGAAACTGCTGATTGGAGGGACACTTTGACCCTTTCTTTCCTTGATTCTGATCCTGATCCTTCAATCATGCCACAAGTCTGCAGGTAACTAAGCACTAAAATCTCATTTTTGCTGCTGATTATGGTGCAATTTACACTGATTTTTTTTAAATTGCAGAGGATCAACAATCGAGTATATTAAGCATATGAAAAGATTGGCAGAAACCTTATTCGAGCCTATCTCAGAGGCTCTCGGTCTTCGACCGGACCACCTTAGCTCAATCGGATGTTGTAAAGGGCATAGCTTGCACGCTCACTACTATCCGCCTTGCCCTCAGCCTGAACTCACTTTAGGTGTGAAGAAACATGCAGATGGAAGCATATTGACACTGCTTCTGCAGAACCATATCAGTGGCCTCCAAGTCGTTCACGAGGGCCAATGGTTCGATGTCCGCCCCACTAGAGATGGTTTGGTCGTAAACATCGGAGATCTTCTTCGGGTTAGCACGAACTCACATCGGTTTTCCATTGAATTTTTTCGACTAGAATTGCCACTGATGTTTATCCTGTTACGGTAGATTCTGTCAAATGATAAGTTCAAGAGTGTGAAGCATAGAGCAATTGCCAATCATGTCGGACCGAGAATTACGGTGCCGTGCTTCTTCTCCGGACATGATAGCCTGCTTGATAAGTCATTCGGGCCGATTGAAGAGCTGATCTCAGAGGTGAATCCTCCTAGATACAAAGAATTCTTGCTGAAGGATTATATTGCCAAATTTTTATCTAGATCACTTGATAACAAGCCTCCTATAGATTACTACAAGCTGTGAAGCTTATACTATCAACACCATTGGAATATTGATAGCTCCAAAGGCAAATATTTTCAGAATAAGACAGCTCTTCTGTAATACCAAACTTAATGTGTAAAATTAAATTGATTGAACGTGTAAATATGAAAGAGTAAATGTATTATTATAAAGATTTTAAAACTGTCACGTTGGCTTTGTCATTTCTGATTTATTGGCATGTGATTTGACTGGAACTAAATGAAAATTTAGGGGCTCAATTGATAAAAGAATTTATTCAGCACTTCAAATAGAATCAATCACATAATTTAGTGATTTAGAAGATAATTTATCCTAAATTAAATGAAAATGTGTAAAGAAAAAAACTTTATTTTAAGGAGGAAAAAAAGGGTAAAAAGGACATTGCCTTTCATGCACTATGGCCCTAGTTTTGTCGATCATCTCCAACCATAAAGAAAAGGAAAATTAAATGTTTCAAAGTCACATGCAAGCTACCAAATAGTTTTAAATTTGTCACATCAAATATATAGATAAACTTTAAAACGCTTTATTTAAGCATTAAACTTTAGGTCAGAGTTCAACCGGAGCATTGGACCACTTGATCATTAACAATATGATGATTTGATCGATTTTTTTTACTACTTTTCTATAGAAAATAGTCAATTCTTCTGATCATCGTTGTTGGTCAATCAATACCCTTTGTCTATCGCCATTTACAGCAAAATTGATACTAAAACGTTCACATTTCACTCTTCTTTCTTCTATTTAGATTGGTTTATATGAAAACCACTCAAAATTGGTGAAAATTAATCTAAAGGTTTGGCTTTCTAATGTTCCGATCTTGAGCCATCTTATTAGTCTAGTTTCGATGTATGTTATTTGTCTTCTTAAAAGAATATTTCCCATCATTCAATTTTTTAAAATAAACACCACAAAACCCTCCATTCATAAAAAGTCCTCAAACCCAAAAATGATAGAATTTTATACTTAGTTTCATAACTTTTAAATAGGTTTTGAGAAAAAAAATCTAAATTGATAAATTAATAAATGATTGACGAGTTTATTGGTGTCTAGGGTGGACAAAAAAGATATTAAAAAAATAAATATTTCTGACGACTTAAAATGGGTGAAAACCTTTAATTTTGAAGAAGTGGAATGAAGTTTATTCTTTTAGCTTCCACACCAGCACCGAAATTCTCACATCATTGTGCCATTTCGAATGTAATAACTTAATGCCCTAATTAAACCTAAAATTAAAATTCAATGTCTAAATTGAAATGTTTTAAAGTTGGATGATAACTTTATATATAAACAAAAGTTTAGGGACTAATAGTGTAATTTAACCAATAATATACTCACAGTTTAGTATATATATCGAAAGATTAAAGTAACTACGTGGTTTCGGGTATCTAAGTCTTGGAGCAACTCCCATTGATCAGTACTATAACAAAAGAAAGAGCAACCCAATTAGCAGAGAAAATGGCATCCCAAACATCAATAGATCACGACCAAACCAAAGTGATGAAGGAATTCGACACAAAAGCCGGTGTTAAGGGACTAGTTGACGCCGGATACTTAACATCCCCAAGATTTTCGTTCGACCAGCCGAGGAACTGAATTCCGGCACAAAAAGCATTGAAGTTTCGATTCCGATCATTGATCTAAGTAACATCGGAGATTGTAACCGGCGTAAGGAGATCGTGAACGAGGTGAGGATTGCATCAGGGGAATGGGGTTTTTTCCAGGTGAAAACCATGGGTTCCCATTAAGTGTTTTGGATGAAATGATCGAAGGGATACGTTTGTTTAATGAGCAAGATTTGGAGTTAAAGAAAGAAATGTATGGCCGTGACGGTGCAAAACATGTTCAGTTCAACTCTTTTGATCTTCATAATTCACAAGCTGCTGATTGGAGAGACACATTGACATTGACCCTTTCTCACCTTGATTCCAATCCCGACCCTTCGGAAATGCCGGCAGTCTGCAGACGATCTACAATTGAGTATATTGAGCATATGAAAAGATTGGCAGAGACTTTGTTCGAGTTGCTATCGGAGGCTCTTGGTCTCCGACCGGACCACCTTGGCTCGATCGGATGCTGTAAAGGGTGTAGCATAGTGTCCCATTACTATCCACCTTGCCCTCAGCCTGAATTAACTTTGGGGATAAGGAAACATTCAGATGCAGGCATACTGACACTGCTTCTGCAGAACCATATCGGCGGGCTCCAAGTCCTTCGTGAAGATCAATGGTTTGACGTTCACCCCGCTCGAGGTGTCTTGGTCGTAAACATCGGTGATCTTCTTCAGGTTAGGTCCAAATCACATCAGCTGATTTTCATTCCAGTTTCCCAGTACTGACTTGTTTATGTTGTTATGGAAGATGTTATCAAATGATAAGTTCAGGAGTGTGAAGCATAGAGTGACTGCCAATCATGTCGGGCCGAGAATCTCGGTGGCGTGCTTTTTCTCGGGCGATGCTAGCCTGTTGGACGAGACATTCGGACCAATCAAAGAGCTGATATCGGAGGCAAATCGTCCTCGGTACAAAGAGTTCTTGCTGAAGGAATATCTTGCCAAGGCTGTATCCAGCCCACTTGATGACAAGCCTCCTATAGATTACTACAAGCTGTGAAGCTAAAACTATCAAAATTATGGCAATTGTGTTGAGAATAAACTCAAAAGCATTTCAGTATTTGTGCCAAACTAAATAAAACAGTGTCCTGTTTAAATTTGTAATAGAAGGATGTTAAACTATATAATATGAATGAAGACAAATATGTTACTTGTCCATGGCTACTTTAGAACTGAACATTTAAGAAGATTGTACAATATATATATATATATATATATATATATATATATTGAGTATCGACACAGTGCAACATTTAAGGGAATTTGGGTCGACCCGCAACATTGTGTGATTAAAGGAGCTATAAGTTGGGGTTAAGGAAAACTCTTTAGATGAGGGATGAAGCCTGGCTGCCTGGTTCTTGATGTTGCTGGTTCGAGGGCTGCAAGCATTCGAAGGATTTGGGCTGAAATGCGAGTTAGAGGGATCAAAGTCTCTTGGCACAGATTGATATAATTCCTGACGTATATGCCTAAGTTGTTTGGCTCGTTATCTTGAATCATCATGCTACCAAAGACAGGTTAATTTATATGGGAATTACTGTTGAAGTTTAAAGAAGGGTTCATAGTCTTTGCAGGCTGAGGAGGACAGTAATGTCGTGAACGCTAGAGTTGGAATGGACGACTTCCCATTTAGAGGGTAAGTGTGCATTCATCTACTTTTCCATTGAAGTTTAAAGAAGAGTCCATAGTCTTTGCAGGCTTTGACATTTATTATATATTTTTTTCAATTTATTTCTTCTACTAAATAAATTGTATTATAAATTCTTTAAATTAAATCAAAACAAAGTTTGAATCATACACTTTAATTCAATCTTTTCTTATTTTAAAGCAAAAATAGACAGAAAAATTAAGAAGTTTATAAAAAAGATGTTTAAGCAATCAACAATGATGGGTGTAATCATATAGTTGTATGCCAAGTCATTATAATATATAAACCCCAGAGAGAAATTCAAATAAAATAATGATTTTTTATGAAGTTTTTAAATTGAACATTTCTATGTCACAAATCTGACTCTCTTAATCTCTATGTTCAAAAAGAAAGAACCCTAAAACTCTGGTTTCAAGGCTCCAAATAAACAGGTAAAAGTGCATTTTGGACCCTCTACTATGTCCAAAAGAGAAAAAAGATCTTTTCACCCTGCCGCTACTGCAACCTTCAATGGGGCTAACGTCCGTCGCTAGCTGTCGGTCCCGGCTCGATCTTATTGCTTCTTGAACGGCTATAAATAGCTGACGATCCGCCGATGAGTCCATCGAGATAGACCTTCGTATTGGCTGAATTGCAAATTGTTCATCTTTGTCTCTAATGTCGATGCATTCATCTCCCATGCTAGTCCCCTTATAGAACTTCCTTGCTCTCTTCGTCAACAATCTTTGGTCCGACTTCCACGGCGGAGGACTAATCGAACGAATCGATAACTCCGCCGCAGAGTTCTCCAAATTCAGTCTTTCTTGTGCCCCAAGTAATGTTTGATGAGTGGAACGACTAGGGTTGTTATTACCTATTTCAATCACCACAAAGTCTTCATCACCATTAATGATGGTCTCGGTGTATGGATTCGAATCTTGCGGGGTTGAGCTCGGAGCAACGACGGGGTCGGCTTGGAACCGACCGTGACTCGAGATACTAGTCCGACAAAGCGGACAATTCGCATTGTTTTGAAGCCAGACATCAATGCAATCGATGTGGAAAACGTGGCTGCAATTCGGTATCATCCTCAGCTTCTCGTCCACTTCGAATTCATTCAAGCAAACAGCGCATTCGCAAAGGCTTCCCTCTTTCGATTCTTTATCGAATCGAAATATCGGGATTTGCCTTATAACCGATTCGTCGAGCCCTCGGTGTCTTCGTTCGATCTCCGCCAGCGAGTACGCCATTAAAGGGTCCTCGTGTCGTCTTCGAGACAACGAGAATCGCCTGAAAGGATCAATCCTTTGCCAATTGAGACAACACTTGATGACAAAGATGTAATAGCTGAGTAACAAGAAAGCTGTTGCTAGAATCCCCAAAACGGCAATGGCTATGATGGGAAAACTCGTGCCGGATGAATGAGGATGAGACACCGAGATCGAGTTCCCTGGACTTGTGGTCGGTGAAAGAGCTTGTGAGAATCTGGTTTTACTTACAAGATCCATTGGAAAAGACAGTGTTGTTTTTTAAGACAATGCAAAGAAAATGGTTTACTTGGATCTTGCCATATGTTTGAAATCCATTGAAACATCAACAAAACAAGTTAGGTTTGAAAAAGAGAAAGGTGAAGGAGAAGAACATGGAGAAGAGAGGTCGGAACAGGCAGACTAAAAATGAGGAAGGTGTTAAATTATATATTGTATTAAATGAAAATTGTGTAAAGTGAAAAAACAACTCTTTTATTAGTCCTTGTATTATATGTACATTATGGATTTAGTCCTTATACGCTATTTTGACCATTTTTAGTCTTTTTTCTTCTATTTTTAAAATTTTAATCTTGAACCAAATGATAAAGGGGCAATAAGACTAAACTAAATGGGCTCACAATAATCAAATCAAAGAAAGACCATAATTTAATTTAATTTAATAGAGATTAATTTTAGTCTTTTTTATTTTTGAATTCTGAAATTTAAATAATGATTCAAACATAATAGAATTAAACTAAAGAGGCTTTAAACGACTAAATTAGACAATAACAAATAAACTATAAATTATACATGGTACAAGAACTAATATTAAAGTTTGATTTAGCAAATGTTATAGTTATTATTTGTGTCAAGACCAAAAGTTTAAAAGTATATAAGTTAAAAATGATCAAATTACAGTATATGGACTAAATTCATAATTTTCACACGATAGAGGGACATATTGAAGAATTTAACCATAAGTTTTTAATAATAAAAAAAGGGTCTGAAAGGAGAGTACGTAGTTGGTGGATTTTTCTCAAGTTTCCACGAGAAGTTTGGCTTGGAAAAATACTTGGTTCAGACTTTCGGTGTCTCGACTGTTGTACTTATTTTTATTTTAAAAATATATATTATTTTGATTTAATCAATTAATTAATTAAGCCATCGGGTATGGGGGAATATAAAATTTGAGATGGGAGGGGGGACTAAACTCGAATGGATTGGCCCACTACCATCAATGATAGAGTTCGACATGAAGCGTATGTGTCAAGGTTGGGGACCGAGACCATGTCTTGTATGTGATTTAATATTTTTTACAGAAGCAATTAATTTTGTTAAAATTATAAATATTTAAATTGGTTCAAAAAAATAAAATATTTATATTATAATAAAAAATTATACAATCACAATCATAAATTAAACACGTAATAAGAATATTTTTTATATAATCGTTAATATAAAAAAATTGTCACTTAAAATCATACAAAAAATCATATAAGGAAAATGTTAAAAACTATAACCAAATAAACTCGAATAAAATATAGATACGAACAGACTTGGCCGCATCAGTAAACGAATCACAAAAGGGGATCAAGCTATTGAAAGACTACCGACAAATCACAAATCAGAGTCGAACGACATGAAAAAATTATCCACGAACGAAATCGTGTATCCAAATCCAATCATATAGTCCAAACCAGGGAAGATTAACATGATAACAAATAAAAACCATCTTAATCAATTGTGACAATGTCAAATCCAATCCTAAGTAAAAGGATAAACCAAAACAATGGTCAAACGACGAAAAAGTATCATAAAAATAAAGAAAATATACTATAAAGATAAAATTGTTAAAAATTTAAAAACAAGAAAATAAACAAATATATGTTATAATAAAAAAACAATGAATACCGACGGTCGACGGATCAATTTTAAGTTTGGTGTCATTGTTAATAAAAAATATAAAGAAAAAGAGAGACCAAAGATGACAAAAAAAGGTGGCAAACTCAATTTAATAATAAAATTAAAATTTTAATAATTTTAAAGTTTATTCCTAAAAACAATTACTTATGAAGTGACCTTAATAATAAAAAAAATATTATTCAATTTAGAGGTCATTGATTCAAGTAGTTACGTCTGTAAGATAAATGTGTTATCAATTAATTAAGAAAGTTAAGAATATATATTACCTTATAATATCCCAAAATTACTCATAAAATAATGTTTAACTCTTTATTGAAATATATTTTAGATATTAATTAAATCATACTTTATAATGATCAATAGGAGATGATAATGAAATTTATGTCTTCCAACAGTCAAGTGAAGGAGTGTAGTATGTTAAAATAAACAAATAAACAAATGAGATTAAGATTATTAAAACTAGGGGTGTATTCGGTTCGGTTCGGTTCGGTTCGGTTTTTTTATTAAAAATTAAATCGAACCGAAATAAACGGTTTTTCAATATTTAAATCGAAATCGAATAGTTAAAAAACCGAAAAAATCGAAATCGATTTTTTCTGTTCGGTTCAGTTTTTTTAACGCTTCGGGTTTTTCGGTTCGGTTTATCGGTTTTTCAATGAAAAAATCACTTGAAACTATAATTTTTTTTACAAAAATTGTCTATTCGGTTCAATATGGAACAAATGGGTTCCATATGAAAAATCCGAACTGAACCGAATCAAAAAAAAAGAAGCCTTTAAACCGAACTGTTTAAAGCCAAACCGAACCGAACCGTTTTACTTGATTCGTGTCAATTTTTCGATTTTCTCGATTTCGTTGCTCACCCTTAATTAAAACTACCAATAATACTAGTAATGATTAAGCATATTTGTTCGCCCATCATACACTTACTCTTATATACTTACTCTTATACACTTACTCTTATACACTTACTCTTATACATTTACTGTTGTTTCTTTAAATGGTCACATACACTTAGGTGGTGTTTGTTTTCACTGTGCAAGCTCTTCAAACCACTTATGTCTGCGTCGCGCAGACCACGCGCAGACATTAGGCTTCGCATACTGTTTGTTTTTTAGAAGACAGAAGCTCTTCAAACGTCCGCGTGAGCTCTTCTTGGTGCAGACTTGGTTTTATGTCTTCAAAGGTCTTCAAACATCTTCAAGAACAATTATAAAATAAAGTCATTTATTAAAATAATTTTAAATAATTTAATAAGATTATTTATTTTAAAATAATTTATTTTAAAATAATTTATTATAAAATAATTTATTTTAAAATAATTTATTATACAATAATTTATTATAAAATAATTTATTTTAAAATAAATTATTATAAAATATGAATTGATTTATTTTAAAATAATTTATTTTAAATAATTTATTAGTATGAATTGATTTATTTTAAAATACGGATTGATTTATTATTGTAGTTGTATGGATTGATTTATTTTAAATAATTTATTAGTATGGATTGATTTACTTTAAAATATGGATTGATTTATTTTAAATAATTTATTAGTATGTATTGATTTATTTTAAAATATGAATTGATTTATTTTAAATAATTTATTAGTATGGATTGATTTATTTTAAAATATTGATTGATTTATTATTGTAGTTGTATAGATTGATTTATTTTAAATAATTTATTAGTATGGATTGATTTATTTTAAAATATGGATTGATTTATTTTAAATAATTTATTAGTATGGATTGATTTATTTTAAAATATGGATTGATTTATTTTAAATAATTTATTAGTATAGATTGATTTATTTTAAATAATTTATTTGTATGGATCGATTTATTTTAAAATATGGATTGATTTATTTTAAATAATTTATTAGTATAGATTGATTTATTTTAAATAATTTATTTGTATGGATTGATTTATTTTAAAATATGGATTGATTTATTATTGTAGTTGTATAAATTGATTTATTTTAAATAATTTATTAGTATGGATTGATTTATTTTAAAATATGGATTGATTTATTTTAAATAATTTATTATTTTAGTTGTATGGATTATTTAAATTTCAGTAATGTAAAACTAAAATTATTTAAATATCAGTATTGCAAAACTCTTTTAAGTTTAAAAAATCAGTTTATTTATATTTCAGTTCATTTTAGCAGTCTGCAGACGTTAAAAAATAAACAGTCTTCTTCTTGCAGACGGCAGACTTTTGGTCCACCTCTTCTGCTACAGATGTCTGCGGATGTGATCCGCAGACTGCAGACCTTTTACCTCTGCAAAAACAAACACCACCTTACTCTTATACACTTATTTTCTTTTAAATTTTTTATCTAATGTTATATTTTGATTTCATTCTAGTCACCGTAAAAATCAATAACGAGGTTGAAATATCACCGTAAGATAATATTATATTATCATTAAAAACTTATCACGTTAGCAATTTTATTTATTCTTAACCAAAATATAACCTTGATAATAAATGAGTGACTAAATATATTATTTACCCTAAAAATTATAGAACCGATATTGGTCAATGTGGAAATCTAGGGTGTGGGGTATAGTTTATTTCATAGTGAAGCCTGCAAAACTATATCCCAACTTCTACTTGAACAACAAGAAGGTAGAGGGAACAGAACCGACAGTCTATATCTATATTTGCTTGTTGACAAACTATGTGTTCTGCCATAGATAAGAAAAATAGTCCTTCTCATGGTTTTTCCACTTTTTAGTCAAAGACTGTGTACCCCATGACAATAATGGCAAAAGTGCCTAAGGACGTGGTAATGTTTAATTTCTAAACTAATGAATTCATTCGATTAATTCTTAGGGTGTTTTTTTATAGGGTTTTGAGATCTCTCGTAATTCAGGGGTTGATTGTTTCTTGGAATCTTTAGACGTCTTTAATTGGAATCGAGGAAAAAAATTAGTATTTTTATATAAATATCACCTTAACAGAAATTAATTACTTGTTAGGTACTATTTAAGAATATTTTACAGATCTAGCAAATTTTTAAATATTTTCTATAAAATTATTCATGCATTAAATTACACAATACAATTATGTCTACCAATTATCACTTGACACTTTCCGATGTGTTTTTTACTCTTTCAAAATCCTATACGTATAGTATATTCTAGGAAAACTTTTAGGGAAAGTAATTTAAAATATAAATAATTTTACAAAATATTACGAATCATCATCATCATTTTGAAAATAATTTTGCAGAAAGGCGCGACACATTCACCGCATAGGATTTTGAAAAATATTTATAAAAGTTTTATAACTAATATTTATTTTTCAAAATCCTATGCGGTGAATGTGTCGCGTCTTTCTGCAAAATTATTTTTCAAAATCCTAGAATATACTATACGTATAAGATTTTGAAATGGTCAAAAACGCATCAAAAAGTGTCAAGTGGTAATTGGTAGACATGATTGTATTGTGTAATTTAATGCGTGAATAATTTTATAGAAAATATTTAAAAATTTGCTAGATACGTAAAATATTCTTAAACAGTGCCTAAAAAGTAATTAATTTCTGTTAAGATGATTTCTGTGTAAAACCGCTAACTTTTTTTTTCTTCTAAAGACCCGGGATTTCAACAATGGAATTCATCCTAAAGACGTCGAGAAATCTGGTCCAACTCAGAAGACGCCGAAAGATCCTAAAATCTTGTAAAAAAACACCCTAGATCAAAAATTAATTGGATGAGTGCATTAGTTTAGGAATTAAACATTCCTACATCCTTATTTTGGCACTTTTGCCCGACAATAATGACACTAATATTTCAATGAATTTTTTTATGAGAAACGATATTTTGTTCACATATTATCATATTATTTGTATTAGGGTTTTGAATAATTATTTGATAATCTTTGATAACATTTACTGATATCATATTATTATGACTCGTGACAATACATAGGACGCTACATAAATTGTTTATTGTTATTTAGAAAAGCCTTAATCAAATCTAATTCGAAATTTATTTTTTACAATACTTTTTTTCATTGTCTATTAATTTTTAACAACATAGAAACAATTAGTTTTATTAGAATAAGAAATATCCATATTATAACAAGCATAATCTTAAATTAAACACATAATGAAGATACTTTTTTTTATAATTATCATCACAAGAAACTAGTCGGTTCAAATCACACAACGAACATATAAGGAAAATGTTAAAAAAACCTAACTAAATAAACTCAAATAAAAAGTGGATATGAGCAAATTTGATCGTATTAACAAACAAACCACAAAAGGGAATCAAGCTATTGAAAGACCGCCGACAAATCGTAAATCAGAATCGAGCGACGTGAGAAAACCATCCATAAACGCAAATTGTGTGTACCCGAATTCAATCTAACGGTTCAAAACAAAGAATATCAATATGATAACAAATAAACACCACCTTAACATATCGTGATAGTGTCAAATTCAACCATAAAAAATCTAAAATAATAGTCAAACTACTAAAAACATATAAAACAAACAGAAGAAAACGGGTCATCATTATCTATTATTGCTGAAAAGCAAAGTGCAATATTCCTTTGCCATTTGCCAATTTGTTCAAGTGAAGCTTTTATGATTCGGCATTTCCACCACAAATATATTTATTTATTTTACATATAAATTATTTCACAATTTAATTCAGCTCATCCTTTTTTACTTCCATCATTGCTACGCCACAGTTACCTCAGCTTTTCATTCAACGTGATGATCTCAATTTTTTGCTAAAAAGTAAGCCAATCCAAGGGTTGTAATTATCTGATCAAACTCGCAGTTTGAACAACATCGATGAAAATTACAAAGAGAAGGAAAAAATCAGCACATGGAGGGAGCCTAAGGAGCAGGAACAGCAGCAGCTGTTGAAGAGAGGCAGTTTACTTGGAAAAGAGTTTGGATTCATCAATTTGCGATAAAACAAATATAATTTCTTATTTACTTTATTCATATTGTCAGTCTTGATTTATTTTTTTTATTTCAATTTCCAATTTGGGTTAT